AGTTTACATCTATTTCTATATATATTTAATACTTTGAATATATTTTTATTGCATGTACACCAGACTGTGAAAAATTTAAGACATCACATTTTTTAATATAATTTATCATCTATAATGTATTCGTAATATTAATATTGTCTTTAAGAATATTATTTTATACCGAATATTTTTTTACATTTGTTAATCAAAAAATATGCGGTTAAAAAAATATATTTATTTGATAGATATACATAATATGAATTTATGGAATATATGGAATTTTTTCCAACGAGTGTAAATAAGTAAAATTAAATAAAATTGCGAGTTTCTGCTGTTTAAAGTGCGATTAAGAATGAGGGACCAATGAATGAAATTAAGCGAGTTCATTCATTATATAGGAAAGGCATTTGAAAAATACTGTATTATTGATAATGTTCAGATGTTAGAATGTTAAATTCTATCCTTTAGAACACTAATTAGTGTATTATGTATTAGCATATATAAGCGAGTAAAGAAAAAACTAAGTTTTATTTCACTAAACCAATTTATCTGAGACATTTTTATCTTTAATTATCCGACACATGTCGAGACTATTTATTAATGCATCGTAATTTTTAAAATCATTTAATTATATCATTGTTGTAGAAATATTATTAAAAGTGCCAATGTTAGTACTTTTTCATATAAGAATCATGTATTTCGTTAAAATATCTCTCTAATTATCACAAATTTATTATATAGTTACTTATTTCGCTGTCTTTTTTCCTCAATTTTATTTCAGCAACGTAGTGCATCATTATCCATATAAATTGTACAACATAGATCCAATACTAATCTATATGAATTATTTTTTACTTATATAGCAAGATACAATTCTTGCCTATCAAAGTTTAATAAATTTAAATATGGATATTAAATATATTTTGGTTTTGAAATGCTTTTAAATATTACAAAATCATTAAATTATTTATTAATTATATTAACTATGTATTTTAATTAAATCATCTTATGCTTTTATTTCTTTATTACTATATCTATCTAGATTAAAAAAACTGTGGAGGGGAATATAAAGAATGCCGAATATGTCATAAGCATATGAAACATAAAATAGATTAATAAAATAGATTAATAGACAATTCATAATTAATAAAAAAAATTAATTATGCATAAATTTTAAGTTTCCTTTTATAGATCTGTCTTTCAAATTCTTTATTATTTATAAATTGAAAAAAATATCCTTTTCTCTCATGAGAGTAGCATGATAGTATGCTCGAAAACAAAAGATTTTATATAATTACTATTACATTGTAAGTGTATATTTTACATTTTTTCCTATGACTTTACCATTGTGAAAATTTACAAATTTGAGTGGTAACAAGCAATAATGTATCTTTTAAGATATTTTACCAAGAGTTTAAGATTTTAAAGTATAAAATGGTTATGTAAAAATAAAAATAATTTGTGCACCTATTTGTAATAAATGGTTGATATTTTATTCATAGGATGTGCATTTATTGAGATCTGATGTATCTTTATTCCTGTTTAATAGTTATACTATATTACGTTTATTAATTATCTCTCATCAACTGCACAAAAGAACTACACATACGTAATTCTCTGGATAATATATATTGTAAACATCATAAATTATTTTAAATGAAAATTTTATCTGCAGTTACTTTCTTGATGCTATTATACCTTCCAATTGAGTCTGAAAAAAAATTATAATTGATCATGTATATAATACAATTATATCGTTGATTTATGTGGTAATAATACTTTACAATATGAATAATACAGTTTAACTTATAATGATTTAGTAAATTTATATAGAATAACCAAATTGAAAATACATTTTACAAAGCATGTTTTGCAATTATATTATTTCATTTTATGCAAAATATTTACATTTAAAAATATTTACATTTATGTAGCTCCATCTATATTTATGTTATCATAATTAATCTCTTCTAAACAATTAGATAAGAGACAATAATTAAAATACGAAAAAAATCTAAATACAAATATTTTAAAATACTTAAAATACAGATATATATACAGAGCTACATAGATACAAATATCTAAGATATTGCAATATCTATAAATGCTCCCGTACTACCTCAAAATCGAATAAATATTTTTACCTTTAATTGCATATTCGTTTTTTTAAGGAATTGCACTTCCTCCATATGTTTTTTTTCCTCTGCTTCCCTTAATTCAGTCGATCTTTTCTCAGATTGATCATACTTGAGTTGTAATTCCGCAACTATTTTTTCTAGCTCACTTTTTTGTAATTTCAATTCCTCGGCTGTATTAATCAAATCTTCTTTGCCTTGCTCGGCCTGTAAAAATGACATCTTTCATCAACGATTGTATGGTAGTAAATTTTATAGACTGCAATAGTAAAAGATATTCTGCGTGTGTCTTATATATAAACGCGAAAAAATATATATGATATTAGAAAGATAGGTACTTGCAGTGCTTTACGCATCCCAAAAGCGATACTACTTTGATACAATGTCTGATACGCAGCTAATGTCATTTTGATTTCGTCCCGTACTCGCAATAAAAGTAATCCACGTTCAGCGCAGTTTACAGTTATTTGTCGTATTAATTCATCTGAGAAATATGTAATAATATACGATATTATATTTACTCAACCATATATTATATTTCAATTTAAATATAAAGCTTATTCATGAGCATGTATATATGCACGTATATACCGAAACATTGTGTATAGAGCTGCCTACGAACAGGACAAATACCAGTTTCTCTGGCCTGCCTTTGTTGCAATCGCATATCAAGTTGCTCTTGTAAATTTATCACATCTAATCTCGTTGCAGGAGTACTCGATACCTAAATAATATATATCATATATCGTACATTTGTCGACTGTTACACGTTGCAGGATTGAAAAGGTAACTTTAAGAATGTATTTAATTTTACATGCTGAGTCCATATCTGGTCATCTTCCTCCCATTCTTTCGGCGGTAAAATTCTATTTAAAATTTCGATGGTTTCTCGTCGTACATCAGTTGGAACTGAGGGTACTGGAATTTTGCAAGCAGCTATACCAATTTTCGCTGGTTCCTTACGTACCTATTGTTCAATTAAAAAATATTTATAGAAATCAATGCTTTAAACAGTCTAGCTGGATCTCAAATATTTGTATGATTCTGTGTGAATTTATATATTACACATAGTAATCTTTTAAAACATTTTCCAGTTGAGCATCCTAAACTTTTGGACTATCGAGAATTTAATATGTCACTCAGCATTATTAAGATCAAATTGTCAAATTGTTAGTCAATTTAACTTGTGATATTACTGCAGTAGTTTAAAGAAGTCAGGAGCTGCGCACAATAAAAGAAACAGGGAACAGAGAACAGAGAATAAGAGTTTCAACCTATCAAAAATCATGTATTGTGAAATGTATAATTTCTGATAGGTTGAAATTCTTATTCCCTGTTCCTTTTATTGTGCGGAGTAATGTTTCAAGATCGAAAAATCATTTTCGGCATGTATTTCAAAGCACTACGTGTACGTACTATATAAATTCACACAGAATCATACAAGCATTTAAGATCCAGCTAAATCGAACTTCCTTTACACGTAAATGAAGCTCGTGGTTATAAACGAAATTAAAAGTAATGAATGATTTAACTGAAAATTAAGTTACAGTAGTACTTAAATAAAATGAATGTATACATTAAATTTATGAAATTTATAATGTATTTTTAATAAAATTTTATGAAAAATACATTAAATTTTATGTACATGTACACAAATATACTTTTTATAAATACATTTAATGTAATGTCTTGAAATTAAATTCAAATTGTGTAATTTAAAAGTTAATAAAATTTAAGAACATTTCTAACAATGTAGCTTTGGTTTAAGATATTGATTTCTATAGTTTGTATTATCATACACATATACTATAATATATTATATTGTAAAAAATATTTAGTGAATAAAAGTAAGCAGATATTATGTATTTATTGCCCCATATTTGCATATATACAGAATTATTTTTTGAAAGAAATCGTAATTTATGTAAAAACATAAAATGATAATAAAAATTTGTCGCACCTTCTCTGGACGAGTCGTAATCGAAATTGGAGTATCATACTTGACCAATGTGTCCGTAGCAGGAATTGTATGTTCTTTGATCGCTGTCGCCATTTGCTTAAATAGAGGATTTACGTAGAACGTGACTATAAAGCGCTATTGTATTATTACACGTTGAATATTATTTATTGTAAGTTACACGAGTATATAAGCGATAACTTCCATTCATAAAGTTGGTAGCTGAAAGAAACGTCGTCATGGGAACATTGATGCACCGCACTATCGCTCACAGCTCACAGCCGGCTTTTTCCTTTACTTTACCGCCTAAAACGCCGGTCGTTCGATGACTCGATCCGTTTCATTTTATACCAAGAGCAAGCTTAGTGCAAAATAAGAGTCAATTTCAATATTCAATTTTTAATTAAAATGATATGTAAAGTGTATTTACGTTTATCTCAAAGTTAAATATGCTAGTTATAATAGGTGTGTATCTTGTTTCTCTCGTTTATATAATTATGAAAGATGGAATGAATATAGAAATATACAACAAAGATTTTTTTATAAATAATGGTTTAATATTAGCAATTTATCATTTAAAATAAAATTAGGTTTTGTGTTTCGCGCGTGTGTGTGTGTGTGTGTGTGTGGTGTGTGTGTGTGTGTGTGTGTGTGTGCGCGCGCACGCGCGCGCCAAATTTATAATTACTTCTAAAAAAATATCTATACAAATATTTGCATATACGTAAATTTAAGTTCATCTAAGACAAGATTTAAAGCTGTAATGCACGAAATGTTATTATACAATGTTATTAGTATTTTTCATAGATTTTTATATAGATATGATTACTGTACAATGGTATATCTAAATCATAAATCTCTTATACTTTGCTGTTATTATTATTATGATTATTGTTACAAATATTTTAAAGATAAAGGATATTACATATAATTTTACATACATGCAATTAATAATTAAATAACTGCATTTAATTGTAAAAAAAAATGATCGCTTAGTTCATTTGTACTCAAATCATCCATATCATCATTGCTTTCATCGAAAATATCTTGGACAGTGCCTGTTACAGTTTCAGTACCATCCATCACGCTTCCTACACAAAACGTTGTATGCTCTACATGATTATTTGTATTGACTTCCACATCATTTTCCATATGCTGAGTATCATTCTCTTCGTCTGTATTTAAATAAATCGTTTCCTGAATTTTGTTATTACTTTTACTGGTATCTGAAATACCATTATTTGGGAGAGCTTGCAAAACCGATAATGTTGGAAGTGGAAATCCATAGTTTAACAGCTTTTTGTATCCATTCGTACCACAAATTTCTTTAATATCCACTGCCATTGTCAGAATTTTTTCGGAATAGTTTTCCTTCGTACAGTCTACCATTATGTCGTAAAATTCACTCGTACTTCCATCCAAGAGTTTTCTTCTTCTCATAAAAGTTTGCATATTTAACATTTTTCTTCTATATGTATTTGTATTTTTCTCTGCTCGCTCGAGGTATTTCGAAGCTTTATCCAATTTCCAATTGAGTTCTTTTATTTGTTTATCTCTTTGCTTGATTTGATTTTCTAGCTGTCTCTTTTGTTGACTTTCGATAGTTATAGTTTTCATTAACTTTTTATTCATCTCTTCCAAATTACTCATTCTGTGCGATAAATCATAAATCAACTTTTGTCTACTATCCATTTTTTTACAGCTTGTTGAAGATGATGTGCCATCCGTACTTTTATTCAATTCATTCATCTGTTTTTCCATTTTCTTTGTTCTTGCTTTGAGCATTATATTTTTATTTTGCCATTTTTTCTCCAAGTCCTTGAGCAAAATAAGTTGATTAGTTAATTGCCCGATGATAGTTTCTTGCAGTTTCACTTTTTGTTGTAATTTCTCATATTCACATTTATTAGCATTATCCATCGTTGGTTGTTCGATAACGCTATTAATCATGACATTATTCACTTCTGGATCCTTCTCTTCAACCATATTCGATGGTGGTAATTTTGAAGTTGGACATTCATCATTTTGTAAACTTGACAAAGCATCTGACATTTGATCGTTGTTTCGTGATGCAATACTTGTAATACATGGCGAAAAAATATCATTGCATTTATTTATAGAATTTGTTTCTAATGGATAATCATTTATCGTAATGATAGAAGTAACAGACGCATTATTTTGTTGCTGTAAACAAGTATTATTGTGCTCTTGAATAGTAAAATCTTGCGTATCTTTAAATAAATCTTGCATAATATCAACCACATCCTCGCGATCGCCTGTAACTTTGACTGTAAATTTTGTTGTATCTGATATAGCACTATCTTTATTATATTCCATAGTTTCAGATATATTCAGTTCCTTTGTTGATTCATTTTCTACTTCTACATCCAGTATCATTGTAGAAGTATCACTGTTAAGCATAGAATTTGTATCCTCAAAAGATGTATCTTGAACTGGTGTTTTTATAGATTTCATAATTTCCTCTCGAGTTGCTTCTTCACAGTTTACAGCAGTCCTCGTGTTTGATGTAACGTATAAATTTTCTCTGTTGGTAGTGTTTTCAGTTTCAGCGAGCTCTTTATCATTAGTGATACTGTTGATATTTATAGTATGTTGATTCTGTTTATCATTCTCATTAGTTCCATTGTTAGAAAATGTATATCTAGGAACGCGAACAAATTCTTCACTGCTTTCACTACCAAAGATGATCTCGATGTTGTCTCTATTATCGGTAAGCATATCTCCAATTTCATTTCTCGACGAATATTTATAATTTATACTTTTATGAAACAATGGCTGCGTTACCGACTCTTCTAAACTTCCTTTCCAATTCGTAGGAATTGAATTTAGTTCTTCTATATTAGATGTACTCATTTCTTCACGACCATCACAAATTTGCTTTAATTTCTCCTCTATCTCATCATAATCATCATTGAATATGTCATTTTCTTGTTTTGTTTCTATTTTTAAATCCTCATTCTGATTATCAATTGAATTTGTCTTTGCTATAAAATTACTAATAGATGTTTTATTCTCTGTATTTGCTTGCTTTTCAGTATCATTTTCTTTAATATCACACTCTATCTCCATACTATCATCTGAAATTATAATACTTTTTTGTTGAAGATTATTCGTAATATCTATATAATGTCCATGAGATGCTTGTTGTTTATTTTCTATCTTTTTTGAAAAATAATTTACTTGCTGATGTACAAGTGATTGTATAGACGATTTATCAATATCCTGTAAATCAGAATCTTTTTCTTCCAAGTGACTGGACGAATGATCAGAATCATTTTCTAAAAATTCCACCATGTAATAGTCTTCATTCTTCATATTAGCTAACTTGATGCGTTTCTTGGCAGATTTCCTGGTTGATGTTACAGTAAAAATAGATGGAACAGCATTCTTTTTTAATCTGAGTTTACCACTTTGAGTAATAACCCACTCCTGAGGTTCAAAATGTACGTGACAGAGAAAAGAATTGTTAGATGGTTCCCAATCGGCTCTAGCAACACGATCCTGCCAAACTTGTCTCAATATTGGATCCCGAGGAAAACATTTCATAATATATCCTTTTTCACTACGATTGTTACAACCAATAGCTGCACAACCTGGCATTTTTCATCAGTCAAATATGAATAACCTGCAAATTTGGAATGACATCAAAATCATTATAGCATAACAGAATAGAAAAGAAATAGCAGCAGTAATTATACTTCAAGAAACGGCAAGAAAAATATATGTTAAATGTATATTATACTTTCTCTCATCTTTTCTCATGTAAAATGTAAAAATAGATTTCATCGTAAAACCGAAGGAAAGTGCAATTGAAACGAACAGACTTTTAATTATATACATTTTGACAAATTATTTTTATAAACTCTACATGTTATATATTGTTTGACGAAATTTAAAAAGAATTTAAAATTCTGTCTTCTTACCTCGATCTCTTCTTTTGCACCGTTAATTTTATTCCCCTTTCAAAGCAAGCACATATATCATGTAATATTCCTCAAAAGGTAACAACATTGCCCGTAAACATTATTAAAATCGTGAGGAAATTTTTCAATTTGGACGCGCAAATAATGTGTATATTGTCAAGCTTTATCACGAAGTATCTAATGTTTGGTTGGAATCTACGTGTCGCGTACTGGTCGCGTATGTGCATCAATGTGCATACATACGCCGCAACATGGCTGCGCTATTACTCCGTAATTATTTTGTAACCAATAAGATTTTGGGTGCGGTTTATTTCAGTTTATTTAATGCTGCCAAATAATTGATATGTATGTAAATGTTAATTATGTACTTCTTCCGTGAGTTCACAAGTTTTAATCAATACCTTACTCTCGCACATTTGTCAAGTTGAAATAATATTATTAAATAAGTATATATTAGAATAAGAATGAAGATATCTATTGACCTAATCTTCTCAAATAGGTTAAGTTATTTACATACAAATGTATGTGGTAAACACCTAAGATATATTGTAGCAGAAAAATAACACGATGAATAAAAATACTCGTGAAACAACGCCAGGTGATGGCTTACGATCATTACGGAGTACTACATTATTTCGTGCCGTTAATTTCGAATTATATGTTAAGCCGGTAAGATTACAAAAACTGATAAAATATGTTGAAATTGATATTGTCTAATATTGTCATTAATAAAATGTCTTTTGCAGAATAAAACCATCATGATTCTTGGTATCATAGCAATGTTAAGTTGTTCTGGATATATATTTTATATGAATACTAATAAAAAGAAGAACGATTATCATATTATGGTTAAATCAGACGAAACTTTGGAATTAGTGAAAAAAGTGTCCAAGTGGACTGATTAAGTAAGAAATCCTGAGTAATAAAATCATGAATAATATGAAATATTACATTACTTTGTATAATCGAATAATTTATTTCATTACATTAATATTTGTTACAAAGTATTAGTTTATTTAATAATATTTAGTATTAAATAAATAAAGCATTAAATATTTTTCATCAAGAAAATTAATTTATTTCTAGATTTGAGAAATAAATTTGTGCGTCTAAAGACACATACATAATTTTCCTAAGATACGACTATATACATTAATCTGTAATTGTTACAAATCTGCAACAATCATATAAAGTCACTGTACAATGAAATTTTTTTATCAGTAAAATTGTATTATAAATTAAAATAAAAATTTATCGAAATATATTCTATATAATAGAATTTTATTGTAAAAAAAAAGTAAAATATATATAGTTTTATATATATATATATATATATATACACAGTTACATCTATATTTTATGCAATGGTATACTATAGATTTTATTGATAACAATTATAGGTTAAT